AATACCACGTGCTACGCAAAGTTAAACTAAATCTAAGATGAACGCTTATGTAAACATAAATACAAAACTAAGAAGGTATATAAGATTGAAATTTCTTATATGTAATAGTTCCCATTTAATTCGATAGCATTCGTTCATTAGAAAAGTAATTTATTGTTTTAAGGTAAAAATTTCAAATTTTTAATGGAAAATTAACTAAAGTTTCCAGTGCTCGATAAAATAGCCTACAATAAACGATAAAGTGAAGCGCTCTATTCGCGTTCACGAAATAATATACCAGAGGGCAACATTTTTTTTATTTTCCATGAACAACGTCGATATTATTTTTTACTTTGTACCGTCGATGTATCATTTTACTATTCTAGATCAATAGTTTTTGTTCCTTTTTTTTTGGATCAATGGATTTTTCAGAATTACAAAAAAAAAATTTATAATGCATTGCATAACGATTGGATATATTTTTTTGACTCAAAGGATTTTTTTCAAATTATGAAACAAATGATTTTAGACATTCAAAGCAAACTCCATAATAGTACATTTTAAAATACATTACACACGACATCATTTATTTAGATGCATTGTAAGGAGTGCAACAGAACCATAACTACCAAAAGCAATTTATTGCAAATACTTTATAGTTCGAATAATTGATTATTATCCGGAACAGTAGTCGAATATGTTTATTACTTTAATCTTCATGTGACTATTAGATTAAAAGTCTTTGAATACTTCAAAGAGTATTGTATTTTTCCACGCAAAGTTAATTAGTTCTCGTCATATGATCGGGAAAAAAATTCGAATTTCTGCAATAGCGATATTTTTGTAAATTCAGTGATTTTCATTCTTTTCATAATAATAACGATAAAACAGATATTTTTCGACGCTCGATATCTGATTTTGATAAGCAAACATCTAAGTACACGCAGTTCGAACGTGTTTCTAACAGATGGTTGTAAAGTTATCGTTAATGTTTAATTTATCAGAATCGTTTAAAATATCAGCTTTTATCACATGAAAACTGTAGATTATACTGTGTTCTCCAAGTACAAATTCACATAGGTGAAGTATCAATGTAACGACTGAATTTTCATTGACATTTAATTTTCATTACTTCAGTTGTTTGATGACTCCATATGGTAAATATCAATGGTAAAAATAAGATCGTTGATAATGATGTCCTAAAAATCGATAATATAAGCATACGTGATTGTACAATAATTCTTATTAATTTTCAGAAAAATAAAAGTCCTATAAGGGTTGTAGATGGCGTATACAAGTTTTGATCTATTTTAAACATTCATACCACGACTTGGTAGTTCTAAAATATGAAAAAATATTACATGATATTAACTTATTTATATTTCATTAATTTTAAATATTATATATCGGAGGGCACGCGCGTGATAAGTTAGCGAGTTAATAAATTAACTTGGGATTAAAAAAGATTCTTTTGATTTAAGAAGACAGTATTGTTAAGCAAGCTATTTTATTATAATTACTTTTGCTTCGAGGTTTTTTTCTGTGACGATATTTCATTTCTAGGCGGAAAAGGGAGGCACGAGGAAATCCCTACGTGAGAGTATTTAGATGGGACTTCCCTTCGTTCCAGGCGATCCATCTTGATTGAAGAGAGCCCTTCTCAAGAAAAACATGAAAAATTGTTTGCATGTTTTTCCAGAGTAGATTTAGATTCGAATTTCTGGAATTTTAATCGAAACAACAGCTTTTTGTATAGTCATTTCGAATAATCAGCTTTAGTTTATTTTAGTTTCACTGCTCACACGATTTTATTCACTTATTCATTTAACTACGAATTTAACTAGGAATATTGAAGGTTATTATTGTTAACGATCTAACGAAAAAAAAAGTCATGTCCCCGTCGGATAAAAGTTTCAGTAGCAGGGAGAGAATGCGGGCGTCTCACGAACATCAAACATTTGAACGCTGTCTTTCATGGAATCTCGAAAGCTAATTGACATCAAACTTTTGGCACGCAACACGTATCGTGGATATATCCCGACCAGTGGTTTCCCAACTCCATTATCATAGCTGGGAAATACATCAAAGCTCGTTGGAAAACTTGGCTATCTCTCTCTCTCTCTCTCGCTGCATCATGCACGAGCAATCTACTAATGTATTATATTTCTCATTCCTTATCGTTGAAACAGGCGGCGCACCTCATTCGCATTTGAATAGTTCAAAGCTATTGTCTAATCGTCAGGTATTCGGAAATAGTCGAAATTGTGCTCGCGCGCCGCGCAACTAATTAAACTCGCCAAGGCGAGGCTCCAATTGCGTAGTCGATCGCGCGGCTCGAAACTAACCGGCTACACGTAACGAAAGCATAGTCCGAGCCAGCACGCGCTTTTTGCACTCGGCGTATCGTCGTCTGCGCGAGGGAGTTGGCTGAGCAAAGACGCGGATCTGCGGTCGGCACTTCGTTGCCCGACGTTAAGAGTGGCGCGAGGGGGCGAGGAAAGAGGAGGAAAGAGAGAGAAAAAATCTTTCCTCATACGCTTGTGCCACGTGTGCGCGTGAGTGGCGAGGCTCGGCGTGAGGTCAGGCAACGAGCAACGCCCAATCAACAATGCTCGCGTACTCCGCATTTTCAAGGCACAAGATAAGCATTCATTGCCCCCCATACGATCGCATATATTTGCTCGTCGCGTTTGTTCATCCATATCATTGATTATTTTCCTCTTTCATTAATTATTTGTCCTGAATGAATTTGATAAACAATATATATATATAACGACGCAGTTGTATGCCAGTGCACATAGAATATGAATCAACATTTGCAGTCGGATCGAATAGCTTTAATTACGTCGAACATGGCGTGCTTTGATACTCCCTTACATTTAAAATATAACGGTGAATTTTTATACCACTGTTACGAATGTCAAATACTGGAATAAAATCCAATCGTTTTTATGCAAAAAAATTGTTTTTCTCTCTTTCCAACGAATATCAAACTGTTCAACAAACATTAGATACTCGCTTTCATGACCAAATCTTGGGAAGAAAAATTCACTGCATTATGTATATAAAGTGCATCAGCGTGGTGGTCATTATTTATGCAACGTGACAACGTTGTCAAAACTCAGATAAATTTCAGATTCACTCTTGCACTGTTCATTCGCGCCGTTTGGCTGCATAGAATATTGCCGATATTGAGATAAATGGCGAGCGTGCGAACTGGATTATAATGATCGATCACCCGCTAAATGTCGTCGTGCTATTTTGTTACACATATCGTACCGCAAAGAGAAATAAATCAAATCATCACCGCGCGCCAAAAGCCTTTTTGTGCTCGTATTTGCAAAGAAAGAAAGGAAAAAAGGCATGCTACACCAAATCGCTCGGAGACAATCCATATTCAACAATTACTATATAATCTGAGGAGACCTCGGTACTCCTCTCTCTCTCTCTCTCTCTCTCTCTCTTAGGGGGTGGCAGGTATACATGCAAGCCGAAGCATCATCGTCGGCGATCGATCAAATCGCTCCGATTTCTAAGTAGTCCAAAGCGACTTGCGTTCGTTGCGGGTCAGACTTGTCTTAATGTTTTGGATCGCGGGCGGGCGCCCCGCCAGATCCGCAAACGCTCCCTCGGCAACTTCTACACACACACACACACACACAGAGTTCAGCCATGCCTCCTCTATTTTTAGATATCTAGGTCGTTGACTTTCGCGCTACGTCTACCTGCCGTGTGGCAAATTAAATTTTCCTCACGAAAATCAGTTGGCAGCCAGCGCAACTGAAGGGTTAGAGAGAAAAGCGTGTCAAGCGCGCGGAAGCGAAAAGGAGGCCGAGAGGATTGTATGTTTGTGCGGTCAGAACAGCCGTTACGCTTTTATCGTCGAGAGGCGGATGCGTATATTCGGCATTTGGACGCGCGATTACACGCACTTTATTACGCGAAATAACAAACCATTTTTTTTTTCATTTTGATGCCTTCTCTCTTTACACAAGCAAACTTAGAGTCGTTCGTTTATCATAGATGACATTCTACGGGTGTCCATGTGACAGTTTTTTTTTTCTTTTTTTTTTTTTCACGTTATTAAATGACTTTCCTACTCTGTATATGTGCGTTAATTTATTACGCACAGAAATCAATTATCATGCGAAGCAAAGAATAAAATATTTTATCAAATCATAATTCATTATCGGCTATAGAGAGAGAGAGAGAGAGAGAGAGAGAGAGAGAGAGAGAGAGAGAGAGAGGGAGAGAGAAGACTGGAGGACAAGTAATTAAACGTAATAATAAATCTACGGTGTATATCCGGGACGTGACGTTGTTATCAAACGATTATTAAAATACAAAGTAATGTACTGATGCGAACGTTTCCCGACTACAGGCTATCGATTATTTTGCATGGGCAGATTTCATTGCAAACAATTGCGCTTCTATTGTTTCAATGATGTATTACCACATTTGAGAGAGTATATTAAGCAACGAAAATACACAAAAAATGCTGCGCTTGCTAAAGAGAGAGAGAGAGAGAGAGAGAGAGAGACAATTTTGCCACTGTTTGTTTACATTTCCAACGAGGGCAATCATTCCATTTAATTAACTGCAAAAGGAAATTCGTTCAAATGAAAAACATCGAGGGAGAGAGAGAGAAGTTAAAATTTGTCCCCAATTTACGTGTATAAAAAAAAAGTAACAGTAATTCCGGAGAAAAACCAGGAAAGCCAAACGAAGAGCTCCTGCTAGCGCACGTCCCGCGGCGTTGGAAGGGCGGCTTTTGGCCGTCGAGGGGGGTAGGGGGGGGGGGGGGGAGGTCGCCCTAAAAGAAAGCGCAAAGAAAGCTCCGGCAAGATTTGAAAGATAATCGCGAGGTTTTACGGGGACTGGCTGCGCGACTGGTGGTGTCGCGGGTAACGCAAAGCGAGGCGCGCGCAGGCGCGAAGCGTAACATTGAAAAGAGGGCGAGCTCCCGGCGGCGGCGGCTGCGGCGGTGGCTCACCGTACGAGAGAACAAGCGGAGCTCGTCAGAAGCTCTCGCGCCGCCGTCGCGCCACCTGTTTTTACACTCGCCGCGAAATATACCTATACGTGTGTTTATATTACGCTCTCTCACTCTCCCCGAGGTACACACGCGATCTCTCTCTCTCTCTCTCTCTCTCTTTCTCTCTCTCTCTCTATCTCTCTCTCTTTCTTTCTCTCTTTACCTGTTGACCCCGCAACGTTGCTGCTGCTCTCGGCGCGTACTACCACTTACTTTTTTCTTCGCGTCCATAGCCCAGGTGAGTTGTTGTCTATCTCCATATAGTTTTCTCCGCAGGTATATCCCGCTACGTTTACTCACGCTACCAACCGACAGAAAAAATTGGCTGCTACTGTTGTAGTTGTTGTTGTTGTTGTTTTGGCTATCCGTTGTGTGCGAGGTTTTTTGCAGTGGTGTGAGTTAGTAGTGCTCTTTGGCCAACTGCTACGGAACTATATCTAATTAGAGACTGTTTAACTGTTGCTAGGCTCTCGGGTAGGATGTAATAGCTTGCGAAGAGTTACTTTAATGGATGTGATCTGGAGTTGTGTAAATTAAAGATGTTCTTGGATCGAGAAGAAAGGGGATGGGTGATAAAGTGAGTGAATAAAAGGTTTTTCGCGAGCCTGAAAAATTTATGAGAATCGTTGAATTGGTAACGTGGAAAGCGTTAAGACGCCAACGTCGATCGTATATTCAATTTATTGATGAGATATTACAAGTGAAAATTAAAGGTGTTAAATTACGTTTTATGACCGCTCGCGCAGGTGGTGTTATAAAAATAGAGCGCGTTTATATCTCGGAAAGGATCAAAACTCCGACACTCCTCATGAATTAATTACTTCGAAGAATCTGAAATTGCTTCATTATAATATCACACCAATTTGCATTCATTATCACGGATTTTCTCATATTTCTCCGGCACATTTTTGTCCCGTTAAATAGCTCAATTTTTTCGTCTAAAACTCTTTTTTACCTCGCATCAATTGCATTAAAACAGCGCTGCTGGTTAAAAGAAAAAAGGAGGGTGCGAAGATAAGTCAAGTATTTCATTAGTATTCATGAAAAGTCGCCGCGCCTTTGGAGCCAATTACTATGCGCGCCGCGCAAAAACGCGAACACCCGTTCAAAAATTCAGTCGAAGGAAATCAATGACTCGAGAAGTGAGTCTTGTGTTTCGCGGCGGCACGAGTGAAATGGTAACACGTGCGCGGTTTCGGGCTCGCAAGAAATCGCAATTTCGCGAATCGGCTTTCACTCCCGAATAACAATGCTTTCCGAGCGGCCGAATCCCGAAGCGCGAATAAATACTAAAAGACGCCTCCCTCTTACAGACGCTGTATCTCTTCGAGGGCGCTTTATCCATGAATCAGACGTGATCATTTGGGTCGTTGTCGGGCCGTGGAAATCGCCGAGTATAAATTTCGTATATTCTCCAAAAAGCCGACGTTTATAAATAGACACGTTCGCCACGGGTCGCTCGTATTGTTGCAGCGAGTGCGTCTTATTTTTCGCCGAGTACTGCCGGTAGTCAAGGCTGCGGAAAATGCGTTATTACACGCCCCGCCGACTACACGTCCAGCGAGCCTTTTATTTTTTTTTCAATAAAGTCGCGCGCAAACTATCGTCTGCAAGCCACTATGTCATTCGGTTGCACTCTATTGAGGTAAAGAGTCGATAAGGCGAGCCGACTACTTGTTTTCCAGTTTATTCGCTGAGGGAGGGAGCCTCTGCTATACGAAGACGGCGCTCGTTGATAACGAGCCTCTGCGTCAGCGACTTATGCAACCGATAAAAGCATGCTACAAGAAAAAAAAAACAATGATTTTTCTTTATTCTTCTTTCATGCGCGCGACCAAGGGTGCTTTCTTGCGGATTATTGATGATTCGGTGAACTGCCTTTCAAATACAGTTTTTTATAATAAGTACCAAGTTATGGATCGAGCGAATGTTTTTGCATGATAGTGACTTAAGCTCTGACGTTAGATTAGTGATTAATACGGCGATTTATTAATTGACTATAAATTCTAGAATGTCAAAGGCAAATGGTAGTTTTTAATTAAATTAAGCGACCAAACGTGCTAGTCATAGTAATTAAGAGTGACTGATTAATTATGTGAAATGAAAAATGAGTTAGACATGGTAAATTATTTACAAGTGTTTTTCGTACTACATTTAGCTGGCGTATGAACTGTAGCTCAGAGCCATGAAATTGAATTTTAGGTATATAAGAGTAAGTTATGAATTTCGTTCAGACAGCGAAAAGAAGCTTATAAAACAGCATTAATAATACTCGAGATTCGAAGTATGAATTGTCTCCAGAGAGCGGAAATTTGATTTTCAAATGAATCACGAGCGTTCGCGTGGCAAAAGCGGTCCCGCGCTGCCGAGAGTTGTCGGCGTGACTCGACTGTCGGAGGTGGGCGCCTGCCAGTGCTCGCGGCGGCGATCGCGATAGGAAAAAATAAGAGAAAAGAGCCAGAACAGTGGAGTGCTCCGTCGCGTCCCATCGCGCAGCAAACTTCTCGCGGAGGCGTGCGACGTAACGACGTCGTCGTCGTCGGGCGCCCGAGTAAATGCGCGCGAGCGGGCGTCGACGCGCAGGCAAGCCGACGACGACGACGAAGGAAAACGAAAGAAGCGGGCTATTTCGCGTGTCCCGATGCTCGTCTAATTATGCGCAGCGTCGAACCTAATTACCAAAGTAATTAAAAGAGGATCCGGTCGCGCGAGGCAGGCGCGGAAAAAAGAGAAACAGAGATAAAAGGAGAGAAGGGCCATTGCGCGAAATATGCAAACGAAGAGAGCGAGGGGGCGAAAGCGAGGATCGAACGGGGTTATAAATGCAGGACAGAAACAATTATTATTGAATTACTGCCGGAGTGAGCGTTTCGTGCGAATTCCTTGCCCGGAAGTCGAAGCTCCCGCCACCGCCTCAAATCCGTAATAATAAATAACGCTGGGCGCGTGCGCGCCAACTTCGTCCAAGCGCGCACGAGGGTATCGTGAGCCCGTGAGCGCTGCGCGCAGAGCGGAAGGGGAGGCTCGTCGAACAACGAACTGGCCGATTTGCACTAACAGCGAGGCGCGCGTATGCGGGCTCGACAATTTCTCTCTCTCTCTCTCTCCCTCTTTTTTTTGTTCTTCGAATGAGTTTTGCTTACCTGACCGTACTTAACAATCGAATGTGAAGTAGATTCTTTACGAGCTGCCCGCACTTTACGCGAGTACGATTCACTGTAGTTCCGGGAGTTTCGAAACGCGTAATCGGCGGGCGTTGGACGCTACCTCTATTGCGCTCCATTTGGGTGCCAATTTCGATTAAAGTAATTCAATCGCGAATTCGCGGCTACCGACCATTAACGCAAATGCAGCAACAGCTTACGAAGTCACGTGTCTGCGCGTATCGTCGGCAGCTCCAGTTACGCTTGCTTGCAATCTCTCAATCTCAATCCTTGAGCTTTAATTATGGAAAATAGCGTAGGACGTAACCCGTGACGTACAAAAAAGTAACGCCATGTCAGTATCGTTTTCAAATCTTACTGCTAGCGAGCTGATTTCATTGCCAAAATATTAGGTCTTGACGTTTATTCTCGGATGATAAAGTATGTCACATCATAGACCTACGGTTTTGCCACTGAATCATCAGTTCGTCTGTAACCCTTCGGAAATTCCCAACGATATAACGTATTGACAGCAAATTACAGAAAAAACTAGCCGAAATAGATAGAAAAAACGTACGTTTCGCGTGTGCGCGAACGTATCTCGCATATATATATATATATATATATATATATATATATATATATATATATATTTGTATGCCAAGCCGATAACCGTTTCCGTAACGATAGCGCGCACACGTACTGGAGGCTGGTTCTTTTTGGTTTAACTCGACGCTGTCCGCTTTTCTCGCTTTCTCGTCGCCGCTGACGTTCAAAGCGTTTAGCCAATTCGCATGAGAATAGGAAGAGAGAGAGAGAGAGAGAGAGAGAGAGAGAGAGAGGAAAGTTACGACGACTGCAAATATAAGCCGTCGGCTTGGTCGTTATTTGGCGATAAAGAGACGTTGCTGTGACTCGGACGCGCAACGTCATTGGCGCGATCGCTCGCCGACGAAAACGCCTTTGCCGTGATTGGATTTCGAACTGCGCATTATTGGGAAAACAAAGTAATTGCTTTGCACGCTTTTTCAATTTGAATTTAATGCGCCGTTATTCGAGTTTAATCTCGTTTGTTATTTAATAAAGCCCTCGATGAAATTCAGCCATCGACGCATTAGAATTCCGTTTGCGAGAGTTGAACGGAGGCAATATATTTCCATGGCTTTTTCTAAATTTACTAAAAATGACTGCTTAATAAGAATTAATAACGAACGACCACTAGGGGTCAGTGGAAAAGTTACTTCGTAATCCGTTGCGACAGTATATCAGTCCAACTTATCTGACCGATGCTCGTTGATGTGGATCTCCGCCAGCAGCAAACAGATATTTTTACGTTCTTCGAGAAATTTTCCCGACCGTTTCGACAGCACTTCCACGCACTGGCCTCCCGAACAAAGGGCATCATCCCAGTTGAAAAAGCCGCGGCACAGTCGCTCTCGGATACAATGCATTTGTCTAACGAGCCCGAGTGCCAATTAAAAACAATGAAGTTGTAGAGCGCAGATAACACGGAGCGCTGCGTCAAAACGAACGTCGAAAGCGCGCCGGCGGTTTTAGAAGCGCGATTCTAGCTCTCCGTTTCACTGCGCGAGTGTGTGTGGGTGTGTGTGGTGGGAAATAATGAAATCTCGACGGCCGAGACAGAGTTGCAGTCACTCCTGGGTTAATTGGATTCGCCGGGCTGCGTAGGAAGGAAAAAAAAAACGCGCACGCGGCTCGCATAAATCCGCACGAAGTTACTTTCCAGCAAAGTCCCATAATGCCCGCTTTGCCTCAGCTTCGATCGAACCATATATTTCGCAGTGATGTCGCGTCGTTCCTCTGCAGCTTCTATTTGAGAACCGGAAATAGCGCTTTCGATTGCGTTATTTCCTACTAGCCCTCACTCCCCCCCCATACCTGTTCTGTTCTCTTGTCGATCATCGACATTTGCCTGTGTGTGAATGTCTACAGCTTGTCGGACATCTGCAGGGAGCACGGTGCAGCTCACGCCATTTGCCGAATGGATTTTCGCACTTACTGCAAATTCACAGCTGTTCACATAGAAATGAAAATTATTCAAGTTTGATGCCATCTAGATTTTCTAGCTTTTCTT